GGATTTTCCCCCTTGCTATGCCCACCCACACCATTAGTGTAAAGTTAACTGCCTTGAATACATGCACAAGTATATGTGGTTACAGATGTGTAAATGTCTTCCTAAAGTCTTTCTCCGCTCCAAAACAGCTTTAATTTTTGCTCAAATTTTGTAGTATTCTTTTAAGAAGTAACACCCTAATCCTCTATGTTCTGGTGAGCAGCCTAACAATTCAGATTTTAGATCTGCTTTTGGATCTAATGTATGTAAGCATGTGCTATAACATCTGGAAACCATAAGGCTGTATCTCATGCATAAGTCAATATCTTGTTCCATGTCAAAGTGCATAAGACTATTGAAGAATACTGTTTTTTTGATTGCCTGGTGGTGTTTAATTTTCGTGGTTTGCAACAGCTTCTGTTGTAAGATGGTCTGTGAAGTCAGTACTACAGCTGAGCAGAAACATAAATGATTCAATAGATTTTCGAATATGGTTTTAGACATTTACAAATGTACCAAAACTCTAGTTTTGTTATTCAGGGGATGATTTCTGTTAATGGATCTTACTGCATAGCATATTTGCAGACAGTTGAAAATATTCGGTATGCAAGACTGCTTTCATCAAAGATCTTACAATATGCCTCCATACTGACTAGTTTCTAGCATGGGTATTTAGTGAGTTAAGAGTCAGTCTTTAAAATGCTTAATTCTCTGCTTACATTACTTTTGCCAGTGAATTTCAATATTTGCTGGAAGTGAATGCAGAAGAATGCTAAGGTGTCTGGGCTCTTTCTTCAGTGTCTGGGCTCTAACCATGTGTACGCTGAACTGATTTCAAGCCATGGGATCTTATCAGGTCAATTTAGAGAAGAATGTTTTAGTCTTAACTGAATGTTAGGGTTTTTTTCCTTCCTCTCCTGAAGCCCTATAGATCACTCCTGGTGTTCAGTCTGGATTCACTGATGCTTTCATTGCGTTAAGCTCGCTCAGGTCTCAGGCTGGGGTATACCGTTCTTGTGCTTAGAGCTGAGCCACTTGGTAAGCCTTCTCTGCATACACGTTATGGACACTCCCATAACGAATTATCTTGTGATTGCAGTAAGTTATAACATTGGCAGCGTGCTCACTCTTCTGCACTATCCTGAAATACTCTATTTTTCATCTTTTACTAGAGGTTTTAAGTTTGTTACTGAGTGGATATTTGAGTGGCCTTTGATACAAAATGACATGTGAAGGTGTTCTACCGATCTTTCTGTTCTAGGTTACTTTCAGGCAATCCATAAAAGTAGGAAACAGGTCTCAGGGACATGGATGGTCTCTTCTAGTTTTATTTTCCTATGTTTCAGTGCTGAGTGTTCCTTGACAGGAGTCTCTGCAGAAAGTTATGATCAGCTCTTGCAGAACCTCTTTCTAGCTCACAATGTCTTTAAGTTAATACTAAGGATCAGGAACAATAAATTGCATAACAGAACTCAAATGGATGGAACAACTCACGAGCCATATTAAGTAGTCCCTGTGGTGCCCTTCATTGTCACGTGGTCCTGCATCTTCCCCTTGTTTGTCAGGGAAGAAATCAATACTTCTGGTATACTAGGTTAGAGAATTCAGCCATCGTTCAGCCACCAATGCTGTGGTATTTATTGCCTGTTAAGAGTTTGTAGGGCAGGATAGCTGTCTCAGATGGGAGTCCTCTGTATTCTCTGTTCTGATTCCTAGTCTTTGTTCCTAGGTGTGTATATATCTTGTTAGCACAGCAAGGAGCCTTATTTTAATTTTATAACTTCCTGTATCTCATGTTCCACTGTTTGTGCAGATGCACAGCAATCTGGAGGATTTTATTCTGCCTTGTCTACCAAGTACCCAGTGATATCTGAGAACATAGAAACCCAAGTAATACCAGTTTCCAATGTTATAGGCATGTTTTTTCAGTTGTGCTGAACAAAGTGGTGGCCCATACTTGAAGTTGTGCTGCCATTTTAACTTTCCCTAATGCAGAGGAGTCTGAATGTTAGACTACTATTTTTTCAAGTTCCCTGCTGGGGCGCAATTACAGCTAAGTGATTGGGGCACAAGATAATTAAATCCCCTGTCAGCTTGACTAATTGAGAACAGCACAGCTATTACTGTGCATGGGGCTATGTAATTTGTGTCCAAATGCCCATTTATATTTGCGACCACATTTTTTTCAAAGTTTTTTGTTAGCTCAAAGCATGAAGCAGTAGACAAAAAAGAATTCAGCCTCTTGCAATGCCCTTTTGTGCAATACAGAAAAACTGATTTCAAGATGTATTGAATTAGGCCCAGTGCTTTACAATCTGTTCGTGAAATATCATCTTTGATTTCAGCTTTTCCTAGATGTATGATCGCTGTTTGAAATAGTCATATTTCCAATACTTACATAGAACTAGCCTTACAAATTAAATGACATTGGAAATTTACTGTTAAAGTCAGTATTTTTTAGCTAGTTGCAGTAAGATCTACTTCTCTATTTTATGCTCTATTTTCCTCTGACTAGGAGAGGGAATTGAAAGATACTCGTTCCACACTATAGATAAAAGCTTTGCACATTAATCTTTGAATAACAGCGGTTGCTTTTTAAGCTCTACCGATGAATATTTAGGAGAAATCTAATGCACTGGTGTTGGAATTCAATCCTCAGATTTAAATCTAATGAATTTGTAGTTAAAGCCTGGTAGATCTGATAGCAATTGTATGGTTGAAGACCTTCATGTAAAAGTTCTCCTAACTTGCACAGTGTTACTTTTTTTAACCACTCATAGAAGTGTGGGCTACATATGGTACTGTTGGAGACAGGCCTAAAGGCCATTGGTTGGATTCAGCTGACTGTTCATTCCAATTCAGAATGAAAATTTGAAGTTTAAAACACCTGCAGAGCAGAAGTGTTCAGATGTTGAATCATTTCATGCTGTACTTTTATTCAACTATCTTTATTATATTTGTATTATATTTAAATATATGCATCGTGTTCACTGAAAGTGTTCCTACCATGTCAAAATGAAATGAGAAAGTTGAAACGATTTTTTTCTCAATTTTTGTTGAAATAGTTGTTCCCCTAAAATACTTGTTTCTATAAACTGTTAATTTCTCCAGCTATCCTGAAAAGCAAACTAAAATCTGTAGCTACTGAAAGCAGAATACAATTTTAGCCAAGCTAAGACAAGTTAAAATAACTGCTGCTGGGAGCAGCGCATAGCTCGCCCTGCATTCTTCATTGAGCATCGATAAAAATCCACAAGAGAATGTAGAAAATAGAGTTAATGTATATGCTAGAGTATATAGAAACAATGATTTGTATGAGGTCTGCTGGCACCATGTATACTGTGATGTTTCTGAAAGGCTTGCAAGTGACAACTGCATTTCAGAGCATGTATTTGGTTTGTCTGGTGCCTTGTATATGATGTTAGATGCAGCAACTTGTGTGTGTAGCTGATGTGATGCACCTCAAATACTTTGAACACCTGGCAGCTGGTAAGGGTCTCCTTATCACTGAGATTTGGTAAGGTTGAAAATATATTTGTTTATGGAAGAAAAACCCTGAAGAATAACTTGATTGTTTCCACTGCTGTCATAGTTTCATGAATGAAGAGTATATATGTATATGATTTGCATTGGAATATATATTTTTCAGCTGTAAATACACTGGGCAAACATGAGAATGCCCCTGAAAAATGGGGAACAGCAAAAAAGGAAGAGATTCTGAAAGCAGACAAATGCTGTGGGGAGATTCTGAGAAATAGAAACTACTGCAAATTAAAAAAGTGAAATGTGCATGCTTAATTTATGTAGGTGAACTCTGAATAAGAGCAAGATTTTGGGGAGTCTCTCTCTCTTAATGGAGAGTTCTTTCAAGTAGAATTGTCCAAAGCAAGGACAAAAATATTTTCAGAACATAAGGATGTCCACAAGTCCTGAAACCCAGACTTTTTCGTGTTTTTGTGTGTGTATATATATATATATGCACAATATATACACAATATATAAAGCTGAAACATTTCATTGCGCAATATAAAAGATTAGTGGTAATGATATGAAACACTGATACCACTTCAAAAGAAAGACACAAAATCTTGCAATGAAAACATGAAGTCTTGAAATCAAGCATTTTGGTATTTTCTGACCCAGACTAAAAAGTTAACCTTGAAGTGACTGACTCCTCATTTTTCTAGCTCCAGGGTGCTCTGGTGTTACAATTCCCCAGATGGAAAGGAAAGGCAGGAAAGGAAAGCACAGGTACTGATAGTGATGTATTCTTGACAGAGCAGTGGGAGATGCAGAGAAGAGGGTTAGAAAGACTGCCTTTGGCTTTCCACTTCCCACTCTCCCTGAAGGGGAGAGGTGGTTCAGGAGTGTGGTTCTGAACAGGCGTCCATATTTAAGCTTGAATTCTTAGTTCTCTAAAATGTCTTTTGATGAGGCTAAATAGACCAACCTAATTGGACTGAAATTAGCTTTTGTGAATGCTATTACTGTGCAAAAATTTTTCAGATAGCCTGCACATTCACAGTAAACTTGACTTGTTCTGGAGTCACAGTTGATCGTTGCAGTGCATCAGGAAAGGACGTATCCCACAATGTCAGCTGTCATGAGCAAGTGCTATAGAGTTCATCTGTGTCCCCAGTAGCATTTTGCTTGTTACTTGTGGGTGACGTACTTTAGCTGGTCTTACTACTCATGGCTGGTTGCTGACTGGCTGTTCAATCCCAAGCAATGGCCTGAGTTTTCAGCATCTGCCCAGATGTTTCCAGCTAGTAAAGGATAGATATATGGAAACATAATTTTTTCCCAACTTTGAAACCTTTAGCAAGATAGCACCCAGAATGTAAGGAGAACACTAATAAATGTCTGACTTATTATTGGTCTAATGTTGTTCCTCAGCTGTGCTTCCTTCTCTTGCAGCTGCATAAAGCTGATGTAGTAATGATTCACTTCTACAGTTTACCTGTCACTGCCAAATTAGCCATTAGTGACCAGCCTCATGGGAATCACTGCAGGTGGAAGTCACCTTACCTGACTGATTCCTGAACAGCACTGGTCTACTCAGCTAAATTAATGTGAGCACAACAGGAGAAGCATTTATTCCCCTGTCTCGAGAGGTAAATATAAGCTTGTTTTGTATGCTAGACTTCCCTCTTTTCCTCAAAGATGCACAAGATCCTTTGTCAAGACTTGCATCAGATCTTACCTGTTCAGCTCTTTGCTCTTTCCTGCTTGCTTTCTCCTGGCAATTTGGCTCACTTTCGGACCTCTTTAAATGCTGCTTGAGTGAACCTGTTCATTGCTGCATGGGGCAAATAAATCCCACTGCAATGTACAAAGCATCCAGATGGCTGTTACATATAATTGTGGGTAGTATCTGCATGTGTTCTGTGGTTTTGTCTTACAGTCTGCTGTAGTTTATGTGAAAAATGTGCTGCTTTGAGCTAATACAGTTGTATGAAGTATTTGCAGGGTCGGACCAAGTTCAGACTCTCCTTGCTTTTTCTCCTAGGCTAAGTTTTGGTGGCATATTTGCTCTGTGTCCTGTGAGATACTGCACTTAGGTCCCCACTCTTCTGTGGTTATAGCCCAGATAAGCTTAAACTAGGTCTGTAAAGCAGCTGGTACTGTAACAGATGTATGTGAAATGGCTAAAACACCAAAATTTTGCCTGACTGCCTTTTGTTGTCATACAGAAGCAATTGTCTCCAGCTGCATTCCTCAGCCAACTTATCGAGCATTGCCTGGTTTTGCTCTGCTTTTTTCCTTAATTATTCCCTGGACAGAGCTTGACTTTTTTCCCTTTTCTGAGTTAGATTTAATCACCATGTCCTTTTCAGCACTTGAAAACATAAACGTGGTTTAAAAAAGCTACGATAGACAGTGGAGTTACAGAAACTTGAGACTGCCTGGTGTGATTTCATGCCATTGTGTCAACTTTTTTCTTTGTTTCAAATATACC